CTTCAGCTGCGTGGCTGCCGGCCGCCATCTTGGTTGGCAGTTAATTTGCATATTGCCCTGATTAGCCTATGGGAAGCGTAGCGAAGGTACGGTCAATTACCCTTTTTGTCTTTTATTAGATAGCATACTTATTCCATTATATCCAATTTAAATAATATAACTACATAGTGAGAGACTGACAAACACTGTTAGACCTGATGACTTCACAATTAAAAATTATTTATAAGCAAATAAAACCACCAGTGCTCATGCAGGCACATGTCTCAGATATTGCATTTAGAGATCAATGGTAGCATTTATAACAAGTGCACAACATATCTTCCACTATTTGATGCTTTTCTCACTTCTACGGGGCCTGGATACATACCCTCAGGGAATAGTCGCTTTCTGGGGCAATTTGGTCCATCCTCTCTTGCTTCTTGTACCCTTTCTTCCCTGTTATCTCATCTAAATCTTCTGGAATTCTGATGTCATATTTATCCTTCTCAAAATCAAACTCAGTTGCACTTTTATAGCTGTAAAATTAATTTTTTGAAGGAACAAAATTTTAACTTCATAACAAGATAAGCAAGGAAATACTACTACTTAACAAAACAAAACACCTATATACACGGTAGGCACTATAGTGGTGGTGGGGGGGGGGGGGGGGGGAGAAGCAAGAAATAAAATGAAAGAAAAGGAATCTAAGAAAATGAAAAAATAAATAAATAAAACCTTTATTCACACACACTGCTAGTGGGAAGGTCAAATGGTGGAGCTACTTTGAAAAACATTCTGGCCGTTTCCTAAAAAACTAAACGTGCAACTCCCTATGACCCATCAATTACACACTGCTGGTCATTCACTGTAGAAAACGCAGACTACATTCCCGCAAAAATCTGTCGAGGAATGTCTAGAGCAGTGGTTCTCAACCTTCTGGCCCTTTAAATACAGTTCCTCATGTTGTGACCCAACCATAAAATTATTTTCGTTGCTACTTCATAACTGTAATGTTGCTACTGTTATGAATCGTAATGTAAATATCTGATATGCAGGATGGTCTTAGGCAACCCCTGTGAAAGGGTCGTTCGACCCCCAAAGGGGTCGCGACCCACAGGTTGAGAACCGCTGGTCTAGAGCTTATCTGTAATGGCCAACAACTGTAAACAACCCAGATGGCCTTCAACAGGTGCCTGGTTAGACACCCTGTGCTCCCTCCACACGGGCTACTACTCAGCAAGAAAAAGGAAGCAAACTACTGCCGCACAAGAACCTGCATGAATCTCCAGAGATTTATGCTGAATGAAAGAAGTCAATGGTTTCACACCATGATTCCTTTTATCAACATGCTTGAAATGAGAAAGTTATAGAAATGGAGAATTAGAGGTCGCCGAGGATGAAGGAGAGAAAGGCTGTGGACATAACAGGGCAACTTGAGGAACCCCTATAGTAATAAAAATATCCTGTATAATGCCTGTAACAGTGTCTACAGTTTTGCGAGATGTTCCCATTGGGGGAAACTAGGTAAGTGATGCATGAGATCTGACATTATTCTTATAATGGAACATGAATTGCAATCATCTTAAAATAAAAAAGTTTAAAATGAAAAAAAAAAAAACATGGGGAAGTACAGGGAAGCAAAAGTAAGAAAAAAGAAAAGAAAAAGGGAATACAGGAGGTCAGAAAAGCACAAGATTTAACGTATTTTTAGTTCACCATTATTTGTGCTTTATTCCTCTGGTTCAATATGTGTTAGATATCTCAATATTACACATTAATCCTAACTTTTAAGAACTTTTATTTGCAAAGGTTCTTATTCTCATTACAAGGACAAAAAACTACAATTTCAGCAACACAAGTCTCATCAATATTTTTTCTCACCAGATGCTAAGTCATGCTTAGCTTTAAGTAATGGATTAAATGGACAAAGATTTCTCTTTTAATAGCTGGGTTTCTATTGTCTCATTTATTTGTTTGTTTTGAGGAGAGGGTGAATAACAGTAAGAATGGAGTGCTATAGAGACTAAACCTCAAGGCTAGGAAATTTATTTTTAACATGAAACTATTCCAAATTGAAGCTAAAGTGGCCTCAATAAAACACCCTTGGAAAAGAAATCATGAACTGAACCAAAAAATAAGCCCCTTCCAATGCACTTCTACTCTGTACAATCCAGGGATGAATGTCATACAATCACTCCTGCACACGCACTTTACCTCCTCGATGGTTAACAACTTGCAGTGGTCTATACTTACCTCCTAAGGTTCCAAATGATGATCCTCGTCCCCTTCTTCCCTATGATAGCATCCAGTTCTGCTAGTAAACTCTGCTCCGTGGGAAACAGAGAATGCTTCAGAATTGCAGCCAGGCTTGCCTCTGATTCCGCTAAATTAATCATCTGTCGTATATCCTAAGTTAAAGACCAATAACATATTTTCCACAAGTGCAATATGAAAACCAACTCAAACAACAGAAAAACTACTTCCTAAATTATTTCCTAAGTTTTAAAGTGGCGGTCTGATTTCAAATGAATACCCAGGATGAAGTATGAGCAAGTGTATTACCCCTAATAATGTACTGGTTCCAATATTTGAAATGTGGTTATACAGAGGATATTTTCCTAAAGATATCTTATTTGTCATGGTAATTAGTGAAATTTTCAAGCCAGACCACAAGTCTCATTAGAGCACAGTAAGACTGAAATAAAGAGGAAAGCTACAGAAGCTCAACATGAAATGCAACCGCCTAACAGCTAAGGACTTTCGTGGCAAAATTCCCGCAGAGAACAGAGGGACAACACTGAGCCACAGACATAAGGTAGAGGCAGGGACAGGAATAGGAACTAGAATGGAAGAAAATGGAGGAAGGCAAAAGGATAGAATGATTCACATTATTTCTTCAGAGTTTCTACATCGCTTCTATTTCAAAATCCAAAGGATATGGTGTTGGTTGAAGGCCACTATTGGAACAACAACATGTTCTGCTTGTATGGCTTCCAAGTAGGTCTGAGACAAGAGGCCCACACTCATGGTTTCTCCATTTTTGGTAAAAACAATTGCATCTTTACCCAAACGCATAGAACCTGACTTGAAACCATTCCCATACAATCCAACTGGGACATGACCATTCACGGTGACTTTGTCACTGAAGCCAAAGCTAAAAAGAAAAGAAAGATTTTAAAAATAAATATGTATAATCATGCTTTTAATTCAAAAACTGTAATAGGTAAAGAGCCTAGTTTTGTATGCTGGCCTCATCCTTTCTAGATCTATAATCTTGGGCAAGTAACTGCTAATCTGCCTTGGCATGTTTTCCAATCTCTGAAATGAAGGAAACGCAGTCTACATCATAGGGTGTTTAAGGATCTCACAAGCCAAACAGGAGCATGTGGCCTGGCACATGCTGGCAAATGGCCAAGTTATAATTCGGGTCCCTGGGCCCTTTAAATTGCACCCCCTGAAATCTCTCCTGTAGGTGTGGTTGATTCTCTTGTTCTCACCAAGCCTTGGTAGTATGGTTACTGATGGGGTGGCCTTGACTTTTTGGCAGCATAAGGAGTATTTGAGGAACAGTAAGACCTCTACTACCAAATTCTCCCTCTACCCTGCACCTGTGCTAAGTATTTTCGTTTCCATTTCAGGCACATTTGGCTTCATACTGACATCCAATACTGTGACCCTAGAACCCAAAGTCCAGGAGTCTTTTATGCTGCTTCCTCATCCTCTAAAGGATCCCTTTAAAATTACCATCCCCTCCCAAAGTGGTAAGTTTCATTGGAAATACTGGTTAAAACTAATTTACACTAAAGTATAAATAACTGACACCAATGTGCTATAGCTCTATAAATGGTGGAATTCTAGATTAAGTCGGACATGAGGGGAATGATGAGAAGAATGGTAGGGATTGCCTAATAACCTAACAGTAGAAATGAAGGAAAACTTACGAGAATAGAGCACACTGCGAGTTCTTAAAAAACAAAAACTATGGGCAAGAATACAATACATGAAACCCTTGAACTAGGTAAAAGCAATAATTTTAAGAAGTGTGACACTTTCACATACCTTAGCATTTTATGTAATTTATCTGAAGTCATACCATTCCCATTATCAGTGAATGTCAAGCATATGTGCTTATTTATCACTGTTTTGTCAATCCATATCTGTTTAGCATTCACATCAGGATCGTATGCATTATCTGAGAAACAAAATTTGAGAAATTTTGTGTTTGCATTTTTAAAAACGCAACTAGTTCAGAACAATCTTTTAACAAGCAACAGAATAACATATTTTAAGGACATTTAAAAAGTTGAAATGTTAAGAACTTGTGAGATTTAAAAACATAAAACTACAACATTGTACCCTGCTATATATCGCTCATGGCTATTACAGAATTAACTCTTTCTGATGCCCTCCATTCAGAGAGCAAGTGGAATCACTTCCTACAGAGATAATCAAGGGAAGGCCTTCTGCCCAAAGACCAGCCTGGCCATATATCACAGGGAAGCTAAGAGCTGGTGTCAGCTAGCACTAGAGCAGATGTGGAAGGGACACATTTTCTGCTAAGCACAGATGAAGGTTTACCTTCTGCCGCGTTCTTCAAATTGTGTCTCTTTTCAATAGTTAAAAAGAAAACCACAGGCCCCAAATGGTGTGCCTTTTGCTAAAAAACTATGATACCAGACCTAGCTGGTTTTGCTCAGTAGTTAGAGCGTCGGCCTATGACTGAAGGGTTTCGGGTTAAATTCCAGACAAGGGCACATATCTCTGTTGCAGGCTTGATCCCCCTCTCTCACATTGAAGTTTCTCTCTCTCTGTCTCTCCCCAACCCTTCCACTCTCTCTAAAAATCATTGGAAAAAATATCCTTCCCAACTATTAAAAACATATTACTATTTTTTTATAGATCTAGTTATTTTATAATCAGAATAAAAATATTTTCAACATAAATGCTTTATGAACTTAGTGAATTAAAATACTTTCACAATAGTATAGGAAAGTTGAACAGTGATTAATTTGACTAATCTGACATCCATTTGAGTAACTGTCATGCTAGGTAACTTTTACCCATAGTGTTATTATTCAAGATACATTTTTTTTTAATAAAGCACACTTATATAATATTTTTCAATGAAAAGTTTTTTTAAAACTTCAATTGCAAGTAATAGGTTACATATGAAAATTTTACATACCTATTAATTCAGCAACTGCACTGAATGGCCAAGTGTGACTAGTAGAATTGGTATGTAAAAACTTCGGGCAGAGCTGGAAAAAACCCATGAGTCATGTAAATTAATTCAGGTCTTACTTTTAGGAACAGAAACTGAGAGAAAAATTCTGAGATTCTAAATAAAATACAGTGAGCAAGAGAGTGAAAGTAACCAGTCAGGACCTGCGGACCAACTCACAACAGACAGCTGGCATTCGCATCAACTTCTACAGTGACCGCCAGACCCCACAGCATTCGAATGCATGAACTTTCAGGACCGTTTCCCACAACCAATCGCAAGTGGTCAGCATCTCTTCCTTACAGCTGTGCACGCCCCCGGGACTGGCCCCACCTTTCCCACCCCACCCTTTTATCTGTAGCCAATGTAAATTCTTTCAAACAACTTGCATCTCTCTTTCCCAAAACATAGCGCCCATCACCTCCAGGACTGTGACATGTCCGCCTTCTCCACCTGGCCTGCTGCTGGTGATTTAGACTTCCTGCCCCAGGACCTGGACCTTTTCTGGCTGGCATTTGGCTCAATAAACCCTTTCTTTCAGAAAAGCTTTCGGCCATGAGAATTTTTTGTTTGTTTAACAAAACCAGTGTAATTTTCTGTCCTTTCATTAAACACTGAGTCCCAGTAAAAATAACTTAGCTGCTTCTTTCAGGATATACCTGAAAAATATTACCTAGAAAATAAGATTCCTGGAAGATAAGTCTGTTAATCATCAAGTTTACTCATCAAGACTTTCTTCAAAACCCTTGCCCTCTAATATCCACCAATCCAAAGTCATGACATCATAAATTGCCTAATCCCAAAGTTACCAACCTTGCAACTACATAAAACTACAACATTGTACCCTGCTATATATCGCTCATGGCTATTACAGAATTAACTCTTTCTGATGCCCTCCATTCAGAGAGCAAGTGGAATCACTTCCTACAGAGATAATCAAGGGAAGGCCTTCTGCCCAAAGACCAGCCTGGCCATATATCACAGGGAAGCTAAGAGCTGGTGTCAGCTAGCACTGGAGCGGATATGGAATCAAAATCACCCAGCCAAGGCTCCCTAATCTCACTACTGTGACACAACTAAGGCTGTGTCAACGGGGTGTTTTCTACTTAGGGCCCTTAGGCCTAATAAACTTAGCTTTGCTTTTTAATCAACAGCTTTTCTGGTGGTCTCTTGAAAAGTCATCATAGTACTATGGCAGTAGTGTACCAGGTACATCTATAAATCCTTTAAACAATGTTCAAATGCAACAAACCTTCTTGACTTCCAATGATTTTATGTTTGATTTAATTCACATTAGTAAAGTATGAAAGAATATGCCAATCAACCTCACGAATAGGGATCTCTACATGGCTGAGTAATGTAAATATCAAATGTATAAACACGCACAAATGGCTTTAAAAGGCTGAGGCTTGAATACTTCAACATGCAAAGACTTTTCATGCAAGGAGGACTTTATGCATTCATTGTGAACAGATTCTATCATATTTAAGGGAAAAAAGAAGGCACTTCAAGTGTTTCCTATGAAGAGCCCTAGAAATGTGATTCGATTATAAATTAAATCGGCCACAAGGTGTCAGAGAGTGGTCTGCCTTTCTCTGTCCACACTAGGTTTTGGATAATCCCCAAGAACTCGTCCAGCATTAGGTTGAAGTACACATGTGAGAAATGGTATTCCAGCTGGAGGCTATGTAATTTGGATTTGCTGCAGCATGCATCCATGCAATGAGGGATATAAGCAATCAGACTTTCGAAAGCACCCAACACAGAGAGCCCTTCATAAAAATCAATGTCCAGACTTTCATCTTGCACAAGAAGCCTCTTCTCCAATTAACCTACCTGAGAATGCGCCAGCACTCATAGTCCCGCGCTTCTTGCTCAATTGTCATTCTACAATTTATTATTTTTCAATGGCATATTGCTCCACCTTTCTACATCTTACTATGGGACATGGCATTAGGGTATAAAACCTTTAGCTTCCAAAGAAGAAAGTGATTAATCAACCACCATGAACCCTTAGGGTTTGCCTCTATTTCATGCATTTCTGTCAGGTATGAAATCTGGAGTTAGCAATGTGGTATTTGGGCCCATGTTGTAATACTTTGATTTTAGATGTACGGCATAGTGAGACGGTAGGAATGTCAAATTTCATTTAAGGACTTCATCGTATACACAGGCTCCAAACTGACACAGTACAAATTGTTACTGAGAAGAGTCCCAGGGGAGCAAAGCAAAGAAAGCATCAGTGAGAAACAATGAATGTTAAACAGTTGGTTTTGGGTACTGAAACACAGCAATTGTTTTCAACTATTTTTGATACTAACTGGAAAGAAAACCACTTGAACAGCCAAAGCTGCAGTGTAACACACACACACACACACACACACACACACACACACACACACACACAAAGCAGACCATGATGTGGAATGTATTAAGTGTATGATCCTGGGCAGTAAACATAACCTCTGTGCCTCAAGTTGTAAAAATGAGGTTAACAGTATCAGCTTACAAGATTGTTAAGAAGAATTAAATAACTTACTATTTGTAAATGCTTAGAATATCTGGAACATAAGCATTATAAGTGTTTTTAAAAATGTATCCCTTTAAGCCCTGACCAGTTTGGCTTAGTGGATAGAGAGTCGGCCCTTGGATTTAAGGGTCCCAGGTTCAATTCCCGGTCAGGGCACATGCCCAGGTTGTGGGCTCGATCCCCAGTAGGAGGCGTGCAGGAGGCACCCGATCCATGATTCTCTCTCATCATGGATGTTTCTCTTTCCCTCTCCCTTCCTCTCTGGAATTTAAAAAAAAAAGTGTTGGAGACCGGGTGTAAGCTGACATGGTCCTTGCACCTGAAGGGGCTAGCAAGGCTGGGACCCTTACCCACACAGTTTTCCCAGACTTGTTTGGATGGCGGTTATCAGTAGAATGAGAGCAACCTTTGTAGAATGAGAACAGCCTTTCAATGGCTTATCAAGAAGTCTGTAACTATTTACTGAGATATGCTGTACCGAGAACTTGTCCTTCTGCTCTATCTCTCCCTTAGAGATTAAGAGGAACAAAGAATACATTCCTCTTGCCAGACCTCCTATTCAGTGTTTTGTGTATAAAAGGCATTGCGTGGTTAATAAACTTACTGCAGTTCCTCGATTGACCTGTTGTCCTCCCGATCCCGCTCTCCTGTCTTTCTTTCTTTTCTCAATTCCCACCTCCCTACCTCAGCCTGGTTCAACCTGTCAGGCTGGCTCTGACAAAAAAGTATTCCTTTAAAGGCACCACTAATTTGTAAAAATAAGGAAAATCCTCAAGGATCTCAAGTAAAGAAGGTAAGATTAAGAACAAAACTAAGATTTGAAAATGGGGATGCACTGGAGGTTAGATTAGGGTGCTTAAGGAAACACAGGGTTTCGGTTTTAATGGCGACTCTGGGGTAGATTTGGCAGAAGAGAAGCACACACTGAGCCTCCCACCCCCTCAATAAAAGGAGACAGGAAGGAGGGAATCTGCCTAATGCAAAGTTTGTCTGTTTTGGTCTGGACTCCAGGTATTAAAAAAAAAAGTATAACATGAAGATGTGCAAAAAGAGGCAGGCCTTCTTCACCTGCGTGCCTGGTTGTAGAGCAGCCCAGCTTACAAAACCTGCAGAATTACTTTGCAGACAAGGCCCCAACCAGGCAGCACAGGACCCCCCCAGGTCGTTATTTGGGGAATATTTGGTACAACATCTAAAAGAACACTTTAATCCACCAGGAGAAAATGTGACGCCCACCCCTCTAAGTACTAGGTAAAAGACATCACTCTACAACATAGATATCCCTTCAGATCACTAGACATTTAAAAAGTAATTTCCAAAAAAGGCGTGCACACGCACACACATAAATGAGATGCTATGAAGACTACAGATTTCTTTTTAAATCAATAGTCACAAACTTGAAATAATTTTTTTTATATTTGTATTGATTTTTAGGGAGAAAGGAAGAGGGATAGAGAGGTAGAAAGATCAATGAGAGAGAAACATCATTGATCAGCTGACTCCTGCACTCCCCCTATTGGAGGATCAAGCCAGCAACCCGGGCATTCGCCCTGACTGGAAATTGAACCGATGAACTCTTGGTACATGGGGCAATGCTCAACCCCTGAGCAACATCAGCTGGGCTGAATAATTTAAAAATAAAACTTTTAAACATAAAAACCTGCCCTAACTGGTTTGGCTCAGTGGATAGAGTTTCGGACTGAGGACTGAAGGGTCCCAGGTTGGATTCCGGTCAAGGGCATGTACTTTGGTTGCGGGCACATTCCCAGTAGGGGGTGTGCAGGAGGCAGCTGATCAATGTTTCTAACTCTCTATCCTTCTCCCTTTCTCTGTGTAAAAAATCAATAAAATAAAAAAATAAAAAATAAAAACATAAAAACCTGAACACACAGAGAGTATTTACCTCTTCTCTGTCCTGAATCTGCTCTCTAATGAAGGAGAAAAAAGACATAAACCCAGAAGAACAAAATGAATTAATAGTAGACAAAAGTCAGTAGTTTGGAAATTAGAAATCTTAACTGACTTAATAACCTGGAAAGAGAAAAATCTGAAGCAGGAGATAAGAAACCCAAAAAGAAGAAGGCCAGGAACCTTGAAAGAACCTTAGAAAGCTTAGGAATTAGACTTTGCTGCCTTCAGAATCAAAGGTACTAGAGCAGCGGTTCTCAATCTGAGGGTCGTGACCCCTATGGGGGTCGAATGACCCTTTCGCAGGGGTCACCTAAGACCATCGGAAAACACATATTGAATATATAATTACATATTGTTTTTGTGATTGATCACTATGCTTTAATTATGTTCAATTTGTAACAATGAAAATACATCCTCTACAGATTCTGCCCCCACCCTCTTTACTAGGTGTTTGGTGTTTGTATTTGTTTGGTTTATCTACTGGTTCTGTGGTGTTTTCTCCATATACATATATACATATATATATATTTTTGTTGTTGTTGTTGTTGTTCCTTCTTCTTTTCTCTCCTATCTTTTTTTTTCTCTCTCTTAGATATCATTTGTACTCTCTTTTCTCTCCCCTAATTCTCTTTTCCCAGGTGGTCACTTACATAGGGGTTATCGGTGTCATGAGTACATTCATGCTTTGTTCCCCTTGAGTCTTGTCTTGTTAATGTGAATTTCATCCTGTCTGGCTAAAGTGCTAGAGAGCAAGCCAAATAACCAGACACCTGGAGAGGAGGAACAGGGACGCATGCAGCTCACTCCCATCCAAAGAGCAGCAGCTGTGCAAGCAGCCCACCCCCATTCGAGGAGCAGCAGACTTGCAATCAACCTGTCCAAGTCCAAGGAGCAGTAGCCCCACAAGCAGCCCACCACATCAGAGGAACAACAGCAGCATGCAGCCAGCCCCCATTCAAGGAACAGCAGCCACGTGAGCAGTCCGCCCCAGTTCAAGGAGTAGCAGCTGCATATGTAGCCAGCCCCGATCCAAGGAACAGCAGCCTTGTGATCAACACACCCTCTGTCTGAGGAACAGCAGCTGTGTGAGAAGCCTGCCCCCACCAGCCAAAGGAGCCACCACAGCTGTGAACAGCACCCACCAGAGGAGCTGCTGCCAACTGAGGAGCAACTGCTACCACCACCGCCCGAGGAGCAACCGCAGTCTGAGGAGCCACAGCCACCCAAGGAGCAGCCCCTGAACGACTCAACATCTAGATCTGTCGGTGAGATCAAACATGGGTAGACAAAGAAACCCCCAAAGGAAAGAAAAGGAGGACTCGCCAGAAAAGCAGCTAAGTGAGACAGAGGCATGCAACATGACGGAAAAAGAATTCAGAATAAGGGTCCTAGAGTACATGCACCGGTCGGAGGAAAAAATCAATACCATATGCAAGAAGCTAGAAGAATCAGATGAAAAATTCAATACCATATGCAAGAAGCTAGAAGAATCAGATGAAAAATTCAATACCATATGCAAGAAGCTAGAAGAATCAGATGAAAAATTCAATACCATATGCAAGAAGCTAGAAGAATCAGATGAAAAATTCAATACCATATGCAAGAAGCTAGAAGAATCAGATGAAAAATTCAATACCATATGCAAGAAGCTAGAAGAATCAGATGAAAAATTCAATACCATATGCAAGAAGCTAGAAGAAACAGATGAAAAAATCAACAACTTAAGTAAGGCCCAAGAAGAAATGAAGAGTGATATAGCTGCCATAAAAAACTCCATTGAAAGTATCAACAGTAGACTAGGAGAAGCGGAGGACCGAATTAGTGAATTAGAAGACAAGGAAGCAAAACACACCCAAACTATACTGCAAATGGAGAAAAAAATTAAAAGACAGGAGGAGAGCCTAAGGGAGCTTTGGGACAACATGAAACGAAACAACATACGAATAATAGGGGTGCCAGAACAACAGAAAGATGAACATGGATTAGAAAACCTATTCGAAGAAATAATATCAGAAAACTTCCCTGAGGTGGGGAAGAAAAAAGTCACACAAGCCCAGAGAGTCCCAAACAAGGTGAATCCGAAAAGACCCACACCAAGACACATCATAATTACCATGGCAAATGTTCAGGACAAAGAGAGAATCTTACAGGCTGCAAGAGAGAGACGGAAAGTTACATACAAGGGATCTCCCATTAGATTATCAAATGATTTCTCAACAGAAACACATCAGGCCAGAAAAGAATGGACAGAAATCTACAAAGTGATGCAAAGCAAAGGACTGAATCCAAGAATACTCTATCCAGCAAGGCTTTCATTCAAAATTGAAGGGGAAATAAGAAGCTTCACAGACAAAAAAAGGCTAAGGGAGTTTATCACCACCAAGCCAGCCATGCAAGAAATGCTAAAGGGACTGGTGTAAAAAGAAGAAATAACAAGCTCAGAAAGAAAACAGCCACACACAAAAAGAAATGGCTATAAACAAGTACCTTTCAATAATAACTTTAAATGTAAACGGACTAAATGCTCCAACCAAAAGACATCGAGTGGCTGAATGGATAAAAAAACATGACCCATACATCTGCTGTCTACAAGAGACCCACCTCATTAGAAGGGACTCACACAGACTGAAAGTGAAGGGATGGAAAAATATCTTTCACGCAAATGGAAAGGAAAAGAAAGCTGGGGTAGCAATACTTATATCGGACAAAATACATCTCAAAGTGAAGGCCATAACCAGAGATAAGGAAGGCCACTTCATAATACTAAAGGGATCAATACAACAAGAAGATATAACCCTGGTAAACATATATGCACCCAATGCAGGAGCACCCAAATTCATAAAAAAACTCCTGGAAGATATCAAAGGAGAGATCGACAACAATACAATCATAGTAGGGGACTTTAATACACCACTGACACCACTGGATAAGCCCGCTAGACAAACAATCAGCAAAGAAACAGCAACCCTAAATGACTCACTTGGTCAGATGGACTTAATTGACATCTTCAGAACACTTCACCCCAAAGCCGCGGAATATACATTCTACTCAAGTGCTCATGGGACAGATTCAAAAATAGACCACATATTGGGTCACAAGCAAAGTCTCCCCAAATTCAAGAAGATTGAAATCATAAAAAGCATCTTCTCAGACCATGATGGCATAATATTAGAAATAAACTACAATAAAAACAACCCAAAATACTCAAACACTTGGAAGCTGAATAGCATGTTATTAAATATTGATTGGGTTACCAATGAGATCAAAGAAGAAATTAAAAACATCCTGGAAACTAATGACAATGAAAACACAACAATCCAAAACCTTTGGGACACAATGAAAGCAGTCCTGAGAGGGAAGTTTATAGCTCTACAGGCCTACCTCAACAAACAAGAAAAAATGGTAGTAAATCATCTAAATCTACAGCTCAAAGAATTAGAAAGAGAGCAACAAGAAAAGCCCAGAGTGAGCAGAAGGAAGGAGATAATAAAGATTAGAGCAGAAATAAATGACATAGAGACCAAAAAAACAATACAGAAAATCAATGAAACCAAGAGCTGGTTCTTTGAAAGGATAAACAAGATTGACAAACCTCTAGCCAGGCTCACCAAGAAGCAAAGAGAGAGGTCCCAAATAAACCAAATCAGAAACGATAGAGGCGAAATAACAACAGACCCCACAGAAATACAAATGATTGTTAAATAATACTATGGACAACTCTACTCCAACAAATTAGACAATCTGGAGGAAATGGACATATTTCTAGAAAAATACAACATTCCAAAACTCAATCAGGAAGAATCTAAAAATCTCAATAGGCCAATAACTATGGAAGAAATTGAAGCAGTCATCAGAAAGCTTCCAGCAAACAAAAGCCCAGGACCAGACGGCTTCACAGGGGAGTTTTACCAAACATTCAAGGAAGAACTAAAACCTATCCTCCTCAGACTACTACAAAAAATCCAAGAGGAAGGAACACTTCCAAGCTCATTCTATGAAGCCAGCATCACCCTAATACCAAAACCAGGTAAAGACAACACAATGAAAGAGAATTACAGGCCAATATCCCTCATGAACATAGATGCCAAAATCCTCAACAAAATCTTAGCAAATCGGATCCAGCAGTACATCAGAAAGATCATACACCATGACCAAGTAGGATTTATCCCAGGGATGCAAGGATGGTACAATATCCGCAAATCAATCAACGTGATACATCACATAAACAAATTGAAGGAAAAAAACCACATAGTCATATCAATTGATGCAGAAAAAGCATTTGACAAAATTCAACACCCATTTTTGATAAAAACTCTCAGCATGGTGGGAGTAGAAGGATCATACCTCAACATAATAAAAGCCATATATGACAGGCCCACAGCCAACATCATACTCAATGGACAAAAACTAACACCATTTCCCCTAAGAACAGGAACAAGACAGGGATGCCCACTCTCGCCACTCCTCTTCAACATAGTCCTGGAAGTATTAGCCATTGCAATTAGACAAGAAGAAGAAATAAAAGGCATCCAAATTGGAAAAGAGGAAGTAAAACTGTCCTTATTTGCAGATGACATGATATTATACTTAAAAAACCCTAAAGACTCCATCAAAAAACTATTAGACTTAATAAAAGAATTCGGCAATGTAGCAGGATACAGAATTAACGCCAAGAAATCTATGGCATTTCTATACACCAATAGTGAACTTGCAGAAAGAGAGACTAAAAAAGCAATCCCATTTACCATCTCACCAAAAAAATTAAGCTACCTAGGAATAAACTTAACTAAAGAGGTAAAAGACCTCTACTCAGAAAACTACAGGACGTTGAAAAAAGAGATAGAGGAAGACATAAAGAGATGGAAGAACATACCATGTTCTTGGATTGGTAGAATCAACATCATTAAAATGTCCATACTACCCAAAGCAATCTATAAATTCAACGCACTTCCCATTAAAATACCAATGGCCTACTTCAAAGATCTAGAACGAACTCTCCAAAAATTCATCTGGAACAAAAAACGACCCCGAATAGCTGCAGCGATCCTGAGAAAGAACAAAGTAGGTGGGATCTCAATGCCAGATATCAAGCTGTATTACAAAGCCACTGTTCTCAAAACTGCCTGGTACTGGCACAAGAACAGACATATAGATCAATGGAATAGAATAGAGAACCCAGAAATCGGCCCGAACCAATATGCTCAATTAATATTTGACAAAGGAGGCAAGAACATACAATGGAGCCAAGATAGTCTCTTCAATAAGTGGTGTTGGGAAAATTGGACAGATATATGCAAGAAAATGAAACTAGACCACCAACTTACACCATACACAAAAATAAACTCAAAATGGATAAAGGACTTAAATGTACGACAGGAAACCATAAAAATTCTAGAAGAATTCAAAGGCAACAAAATCTCAGACATATGCCAAAGCAATTTCTTCACTGATACAGCTCCTAGGGCAGTTGAAACTAAAGAGAAAATGAACAAATGGGACTACATCAAAATAAAAAGTTTCTGCACAGCAAAAGAAACCATCAACAAAACAACAAGAAAGCCCACTACATGGGAGAACATATTTGCCAACATTATATCTGATAAGGGCCTAATCTCCAACATTTATAGGGAACTCATACAACTTAACAAAAGGAAGATAAACAATCCAATCAAAAAATGGGCAAAGGATCTAAATAGACACCTTTCAAAAGAGGACATTCAGAAAGCCAAGAGACATATGAAAACATGCTCAAAGTCACTAATCATTCGAGAGATGCAAATCAAAACAACAATGAGGTACCATCTCACACCTGTCAGAATGGCTATCATCAACAAATCAACAAACGACAAGTGCTGGAGAGGATGTGGAGAAAAAGGAACACTTGTGCACTGCTGGTGGGAATGCAGACTGGTGCAGCCACTATGGAAGACAGTATGGAGTTTGCTCAAAAAGTTAAAAATGGAACTCCCATTTGACCCAGTTATCCCACTTCTAGGAATATATCCCAAATAATGAGAAACACCAATGAGAAAGGATATATGCACCCCTAAGTTCATAGCAGCACAATTGACCATAGCTAAGATCTGGAAACAGCCTAAGTACCCATCAGCAGATGAATGGATTAGAAAACTGTGGTACATCTACACGATGGAATACTATGCTGCTGTAAAAAAGAAGGAATTCTTGCCCTGACTGGTTTGGCTCAGTGGATAGAGCGTAGGCCTGCAGACTCAAGGGTCCCAGGTTCGATTCCAGTCAAGGGCATGTACCTTGGTTGCAGGCACATCCCCAGTGTGGGGTGTGCAGGAGGCAACTGATCGATGTTTCTAACTCTCCATCCCTCTCCCTTCCTCTCTGTAAAAAATCAATAAAATATATTTTTAAAAATCTCATTAAAAAAAAAAAGGAAGAAGGAATTCTTACCATTTGCGACAGCATGGATGGAACTGGAGAGCATTATGCTAAGTGAAATAAGCCAGTCAATGAAAGAAAAATACCACATGATCTCACTCATTTATGGATAATTAAGACCATTATAAGCTGATGAGCAAAAACAGATACAGAGGCAGAGCAACATCGAACAGACTGTCAAACTACAGAGGGAAGGGGCTGGGAAGGGTTGGGGGGGGAGGGTAAGAGATCAACTGAAGGACTTGTATGCATGCATACGAGCATAACCAATGGACACAAGACAATGGGGGGCATGGAGGCTAGGGGAGGGTCAAGGGGAGAAAAAAAAAGGAGACATATAGAATACTCTTGGTAATACTTTAAGCAATAAAACAATAAAAAAAAGAAAATACATCCTGCATATCAGATATTTACATTATAATTCATAACAGTAGCAAAATTAAAGTTATGAAGTTGCAACGAAAATAATTTTATGGTTGGGGGTCACCACAACATGAGGAACTGTATTAAAGGGTCATGGCATTAGGAAGGTTGAGAACCACTGTACTAGAGGCTATCTGAAAACAAGATAGGTTGAAAGTCTTCACAAGAATCAGTTAAGATTCCATGAGATCCTTCTTGCACCCTGAGCAGCCCTGCAACTACCCTAGGCAACCCTGTAAAAGACTGGAGTGTGTCCTCTGGAGAAATTGATGACGGCAGGCTCAGGCACAACTCAAAACAGATGTTAAGAGCAAGTCAGCAAAAAGCCCAAAAATAAACCTTCTCATATATATATAGTCAAATGATTTTCCTAAAAATTTTAATGACCATTTCACTGGGGGAGGAAAAAGAAATCTTTCCAACAAATATAGGTGGGAAGCTGAATATCCACACGCAAAAGAATGAAGTTATTCTTACCCTTCCTTACACCAGTGATGGCGAACCTTTTGAGCTCGGCATGTCAGCATTTTGAAAAACCCTAACTTAACTCTGGTGCCGTGTCACATATAGAAATTTTTTGATATTTGCAACCATAGTAAAACAAAGACTTATATTTTTGATATTTATTTTATATATTTAAATGCCATTTATCAAAGAAAAATCAACCAAAAAAATGAGTTCGCGTGTCACCTCTGACACGCGTGTCATAGGTTCACCATCACTGCCTTACACCATATACAAAAGTTAACTCAAAATTGATCAAAGACCTAAACATCACAGCTTAAATTATAAAACTTAGAAGGAACAGGGGGAAAGTTTCATGACAATGGATTTGGCAATGATTTCTTGGATATAACACCAAAGCACAGGAGGCAAGTGGGAAAAATAAATTAGACTGTACTTATGTATGAAACAGAAATTTTAGGGGAATATATGCAGGCTTAGGGAATTTTTAGAATTGGGGTCCATGGAAAAATCATAGGGCTACAGACTGGGAGAAGGTATATTTCCATAACACAAGGAAGCCCGGTGTAGTTAATTTCCATAAGACAAGGAAGCAGCAACAGGTACATCTCCATAACACAAGAAAGCAACAGTTGCATTTACTAGTACATAAGACAAAGAAGCTGGAAGTAGCCTAAAAGGTCTCTATTTACAAAATAAAGAAGGAAGAAAGCCCAGAAAGAAAAGAACAATGAGGAAGGAGGGCATCACTGTCCCAAGTGGTTGACCTTTGAGTTCAGGAGTTGCTATAGTGACCAAACCAAAAAGGGGGATAGGGGCCAATCAGAGGGGATATCAGGACACAGAAACTACAGCCTTTATAAACCATGGAAACAGGAAGTCGGTGAGACCCTTTTCCCCCTCCCCACGTGGGAGTCCATTCTGTGGGACTCTCCCTCTCCCCACGTGGGAGTCTGTACTTGTTCTTCAGTACTTGTTCAAAGTCTCCACCTTTGCTATACTACTCTCTATCCGTGGATTCATTCTTGGACTCTGGCGAACAGAGAATCCGAGTTCCAGTCCAAAAATTCGGTTTCATGTATATCAAAGGACAAAATCAACAGTGAAAAAACAACCTAAAGAATGGGATAAAACATCCAGGCTGTTTGCTGACTTGCTCAAGTATCTAATAAGGGATTAAAATACAGAATATATGAAGAACTACTTCTCAACAACAAAACTAACAAACTAATTTAAAAAAAACAAAGAAAGGACTTGGATGGCTACTTCTCCAAAGATGGGATACAA